TTATATCTAGAGCTCAACTCCGTTCGATGCGTGTGTGCAGCATACATATAAGCGATAGAAATATATCAAGGCATATTTAGGAAAGTTGAAGTGATCTATGAGATACAGGCCACAGCCAACGGGGAGATCTATTTTAAGACAATGCTTTATTTGGTTAAAAATGTTCTTGTATTGTTATAAAACCGAAGATTACAAATAGCAGACAGTCCACGGTCAAACCAGTTTCTTCCTACTACTATCCCTCCGTTCACCAGGCAAAGTCACATTTATTGAGGATCGAGTGCTGTTCGAGGAAGGATAATCTATCGTTGGATTTTTGAAATGCCTAAGGTTATCAGAACTGGGAGTACCTCTTCAGACTTTTCCATAATCTCTATAATCTTCGAATAAAGGAGCGGTCGTACCGGTCAGTTTTCGATACGGGAAGTTCGACAGAATTGGGAAAGGAAGCAGAAGGCTAACGAATCCGTCTGGCAGGCTCAACGCGCGGCGGCAGTATGGAGGAAAACTCTTGGGAGCAAAGCCTCTTGACATAGCGGTAGAAGAGTGCAAGATCGCTAACCACCCGTCGCACAGTGGACTATCTATGCGAAAACCTAACGAATATTCAAAAAACAAAGCATCGAAAATGAATCAAAAGTAAAGTTAGTACCACAAACAATGCGTTGGCCATGGAATCAGAAATTATCTTACAGTACAGTACAATGGAATTTCAAGTTTATGGTGTATAATTCGACACTACCTTTTTTTGTGGAGTTTTTGTATCGTCTGTTGTGGTGAGAAGGTGGAAATATATGAATAAGAGTATGAACTTTAAGACGATGTAACAGAAATCTGTCATTATTGTCGTTTTCATGAACATCGCAAATTGAACGGATTACTATTTTTAGCTTCACTTCTTTATATTAGTATTATCCAGAGAGGTTTTTAATGAGGTTGCGCCAATTACCCCAATTGAAATGAATGATTGTTGAGAACCTTGAAGAACTGCCAGATAAAATGTAGTTTCAGTGTTTGCTAGCTTTTGCAAGCTATTGAGAAACACAACTTTGGATCCTGTCATATTATGGCAGGTACTACGAAATGTTTTTTCGAATTTGTCCTTTGAGTGTCATTAAATTTCCCTTCTAGTGCCATCGTAGAGACAAAATCGTCTTTGATTTAGACTCAGCGACCGCAAAAACCTATATGAAAGGCGTCTCGACTCGAATACTGGACTTACTTTAAATTTGTCCTTGCAGTGACCGTGAAATAACCTTCAGATGCCCTTATATAGACTACATCTAATTCGAACTTTGTGTACAGAAAAACCTAAATAACACGTGGTTGAGATCAACTGCTCGGCATCTCTTGATATCACCTTGAGGTGACCTTTAATTACTCCGAGGCAAACTAACCCCAAATTTGAAATTAACGAGACCCAAAAAAAACCACTGTATTGAGAATAGTATAAATGCCATAGAAATTGTATTTTTTGTTAGCTTTTCGGTGATCTAGAACTGGGTGCGTCGGGCGAACGGGTCCCGAAGCAGTCCGGCAGAGAAGTGTCATTGATAAGTCGAACTGCCTTTCTCTAAACAGCATCCAGTATGGACAATGTAGTTGGGGCGGCAGAACTTCAAACATATGAGCATAACACAGAGTGATGAGGTTGAGAGGAAAAATGTACTTCTTAGCCCTAAATATACTAAGTGACATATAAATCCGAACACCCAGTTTAAATGGTTTTATTTTAATGAAAGTTGGTGAATGTATTTATCTTACTGTAAATAACAAGTGAACAAATTTTCAGCCTTATCAGTTGGACATTCCGGTTTTTTACTGCTTTTTTTTCATTCACTAACGCTCTAAAAATGAATATTTCAGCCGCAGTAAAGAATCAACGTTGGCGGATTTCGGTTCTTGACATCCTTTACGATCGGTTACGATGCCTAGAGTACGGGGAGCTGTACGATTTCGTCAACTTAGTGAGTTTGATAGGGCCCGTATAGTGGGACTTCGAGAAGCTGGACTTTCTTTTCGGGCAATTGCAGTTAGAGTGCAAAGAAGTGTAGATAGACACTGTGGTTAGGTGTTGTCAGGCATGGCTTCGAGAAGGCCGTACGCAAAGAGCAAGGGGCACTGGACGCCGCCGTAGAACAACAGACCGTGAAGATCGCCGCCTAAGATTATTGGCCTTAAGGGGCCGTTTCTCCACTACCAGGTCCATTGCAAATGAATGGTTTGCAGAACACGGAAGACCTATTGGCATGCGAAGTGTTTACCGACGAATGAGAAGTTTTGGCTTGTTTTCATGCCGGCCACACTGGGTCCTCCCTTTAACTCGAGAACACCGACGTAATCACCTTGAGTGGTGCAGACAACGGTCACTCTGGCATCAGGAATGGAACAGTATTGTCTTTAGTGACGAGTCTCGATTTTGTTTAGGCATGCACGATGGTCGTGCCAGGGTTAGAAGGCGACGTGGTGAAAGGAGGAATCCACACTCTTTTGTTGAAAGACATGTTCATCACACTGTTGGAGTTATGGTTTGGGGTGCTATAGCTTATGGTTCCAGGTCACCTTTAATCTTCATCAGAGGTAACATGAACGCGCAGCGTTATATCCACGAAGTTCTAGAACCCCATCTTTTACCCTATCTTGACACCCTGGCAGATCCAACTTTCCAACAAGTTAATGCCCGACGACATGTTGCAAGAGTCACAATAGACTTCTTTCAACATAATGATGTCACATTGTTACCATGGCCACCAAGATCTCCCGACTTATCCCCAATTGAGCACGTGTGGGATATGATGGGTAGGAGATTGCTCAATTTGCAACGTCCTCCTCAGACTCTAGAAGCACTTCGAGAGGAGTTGGTGGTTGCCTGGAATGAGATACCACAGGAGGACATTGACCACCTGATCAGAAGCATGCCTATGCGCGTTGGAGAATGCGTAGCACAGCAGGGTGCATCCACACATTATTAAAGGTCAAAGGGCTTTAAAGCAGTGCAATCATTTTTAATTTTTTTTATTTACTTATTATGCTTCATTAAGTACTTATACAAAATTTTATTAAAATAAAACCATTTAAACTGGGTGTTCGGATTTATATGTCAGTTAGTATAGATAACCTAGCTTTTTACCGACAGCTGTCACCAAATCAAGTCCTCGGTGAGCTGGGCTATGACCATGAATAGATCTTCGGCAGAATTTGGTCTTCCATCGAAACAGGATGAGCGCTAGGGCACTTCCTATCAGTCAAGGTACAGTTCTGTCGTTTGGAATCATCAAACTCTTGACGATTCCAAAACTTATTGTTGATGTCGGTTTGTCACACTGACTGTCTGCGTGTAGAATGCTATCATGAACAATGCTGTGGATGGAATTGATCGTGCAGAAGAAGAATTCGTTGATATGTAATAGAAACAATGTAGATGCCAAAACAGAACCCTGAGAAATACCCACGTTACTTCGGATACAAGGAAATCAACGAGCCATCAGCCATTCGTCATCGATCAGTCAGAGATACTTTCCTTTGCTGGCCGTATCTGTTTAGCATTTTCAGGAAAAGGTTTGGATTTGGTTATGTTTTTTGCGCAGTCATGCAACATAGCAATAAAATGCTGATTCACGGAGAGGTCTAGACTGAGTATAGGCAACCAGCAATGCCATAAACCGCACTTCTTGCAACTGTGTACCTTGGACAGTTTGAACGTATTTATACAGAGTATTGCAATACTGGGTGCGTTTGTAAGTCACTTGTTAATGTAATGCCGTACACAGTAATGGAATGTAGTCTGAAATACTGTAAAACTTCATTTTTGGGACGCCTAAGTTATTACATAGCCATTTAATGACACTTGATGATATCTGGACTGATTTCTAGCCACTTTTTCTGTGACCGTTATATTTATTATAAGAAACGCTATGGATACGAGATATCCCATTTATCTTGAAAATATACAGGGTGTCCGCAAAGTTGGGGTTTTCCTTTACACGACGTGTAGATCTTGAAAACATAAGCGATTTTTCTTAGTACCATATACACCAATGTCTTAAGGGAACCGAGATAAAGGGCTCTGCAACATCAAAAATATATGAATACCGTCCTGTAGCCGCGACCCGGGACATCACCCAGTGGTACAAGGTCTCAACCCGACGGCAGAACTGGGTCAGGGTCAGTATGTCAGGTTAGTATGCAACCTTCAACCGACGGTTACGGTCACGCGTGTAGAGGTAAACGACCTCGTATAAACGATTGCGTTTCAAAAAACAACAAGCGTTAGAGTCGTGGCTAGAGAAGTGCAAGTATCAAAAACTAAAGTGTGGCAAAAGCTGCGTGAAGAGGGGCTGTATCCGTTTCACGTCCAACGTGACGATTTTCCAGTAAGAGTGCGGTTTTGTGAGTGGTTGCTGCATCAACATGACAATAATCCGGACTTTTTGAAGTGCATATTGGTGACAGACGAATCTACGTTCACGCGTAATGCGGTGAATAACTTCCGCAACACTCATGTTTGGTCAGTAGAAAATCCGCACGCTGTCCGTCGGGCACATTTTCAACAAACATTTACGCTGAATGTTTGGGCTGGCATGGTGAACAGTATGCTCATTGGACCATTTATTCTCCCAAATCGATTGGACGGGATGCAATACCTAGACTTTTCACGCCACATTTTGCCTTCCATGTTAGAAGATGTGCCATTAAGTGTAAGACAAAACAATGTGGTTTCTGCGTCTGCTCGATAGCGCTTCAGCTGATTTCATTTTCTGTTGGAGCGGTATGATTTCGGGCAGAGACGTACTTAGTCCTTCTCGTCAACTGGAGAGTGAGTACTTTTTCCTTTATTTTTTTTTTACTTGGTCGCCCTCGTTTCACTACACATTACCTTTGTTATTTCAAGGGTAGTTGTTTCTGAAAAGGAAAACCCCAACTTTGCGGACACCCTGTATATTCTACCAATTTTGACCACTTTTTGATAACCAAATAAAGTAAACAAACAATGCACCACGAGAATGACAACTGACAAACAACACTCTCTATGGGAAGAAAACCGCAAATTTGACATTCCAGAAGGATTACTTTGTTCGTTTTCGAACGCATGAGACAGGTACGTCATACAATTTCGAACGCTAAAATTTACCTCAGCCTAGGTTGGCTATATTAGTCTAGTCGGTGCTGCAATAAAATCCCTATTGGCTATAAATCGTGAAAACAAACACTTTTAATTATTATTCTACAGTGTTAATTGTTTACCTAAAAGAAACCGTCCAAGATCAATATTTAAAAATCTCAACAGATACGGCCAGCCAAGAAAGATTTTCTAACAATATTGACAGCCTATGATGACAACTATTATAGCCTATTACCAAATGCAAATCTTAAAGCTTGTCTTGAACGTCCTTGAAGGATGCATTATTGTTCAGTAAAAATACAAGGAAAGATCATTCGTAAAACAGCACTCAATTTTTAGGTTACTCTAGGAAGACTTTTTTCCACCCCTTGGCCTGTCTGTGTAAGATCCTCCTTTCCCATACATTCTAAGGTATGTATTATTATTAATAAATTGCTACAAAATAAAACAGATGCAGTAAGAAGAGTTCACTAACAAGAGTCCAGTAAACAACCGACTTTCGGATTTAATCAACAAACGTAAAACGAATCTACGAGATGTTCCATCTGTAAACAAGACTCCTATCCATTTATAATTTTATATGTCGTCATAAAAACTGTTGACACCCATTAAATGCTTCAGTTGCTTGCTTTACGACCAATATAAATGGTTTTTTAAACAAGCGTTGCCAAATGACCGATTTAGATTTAACACATCAGAATGTTGGACTTGTAGGTGAGAGATATCTGCGTGAATATTACAGTTAAATCGAGATGAATGAATATTATGATAAAATTGGTTCATCAGTACATTGAATTATAAGAGTATCTGTTAACGTATTTTTGTATTATTTTTCTTGGTCACAGTCTAAAATGGAGAGTAGAACTACAGCCAGGTCATTTTGCAATTAGGAAGAAAAGGTTATTTTCTTCCAACTTTCACCAACTAGCAAGAGATTGATTACAGGTTTTAACGTTCAGGAGTCTGCCAGCCTTTCCCGTTATTTTCATGGAATTTCGTGAATCAAAGGTAGTTAAGGATACGTCAATATGGGGTGTCAGCTCTGTGTATTATCAGTGCAATGGCGAGTTTTTGCCAACTGGACAGATTTCTCAGGGACTGACTCCCTCCTACCCCACTACCACCAACAGCATATTGAGTAATCTCAAGGACGAAACATTTGGAATCCATGATTCCAAGCATCTAAATACCGGTTTGGTCTCTGTCAAATTTCTTCTACATTCCTCTAATACCATTCATAGCAGCTACCTCCCTGCCAGTCTGGTCTCATTTATTTGGACACTAATTTGGTTCACAATACCAAAATCACAGGTGATAAACTTTTTGCGAAATAGGTCAATTACACTACGCCAACACTTGTAGGCTGGATAACAAGTATCTTTAATTTTGTAATTTAGTGGATAGTCTAGTTTACAAGGTGTACCAGACATATGACAAGCACAAAGTATGTGTTTACACTAGGAAAGAATTCACAAACGAGCTTGAACCAGGTCGAGATTTGATATAGTTGATGAGTGTTGCAAAAATACGTTAATATGGGGGCGTGTTATTACGCACACTATCTGTTGATAGATTGATCCTCAACTAAATAGTACGGTTTTTGAATGACTGTGAATGTGGTTCCATTTTTTAATGTCGCTGAAAAATCTACGGAACTTGATTTGGACCTCTACCAAAAATAAAAATTAATGAAAAAAGTTTCTTTGAAGATGCGCTTGATGTCTCAATCGAGTAGAACACTAAACAAAAATGCAAGACGCTACTACGCAGAAACTGTCATCCTTTGACTATTAAGAAAAAGCCCTTACTTAAGGCGAACACAATCAGTGGCAGTACGGTCACCAGCTATTCAATTCAATTCAATTCAATGGACTTTATTGTAACATATACATAATTATGTATCCTTACAAATGGTGAAGTCTGGCCAATGGCCATTTATACTTAACCATAAATGTAATGTCAATGCTTATTACTACCTTAAAAATAAAATAAAAAACTGAAAAAGAAAAGGAAAAAGAAGAATATCAGTAAAAGAAGAATTAATAAATATGACATAATGCGTACGATTACAACAAAAAACATAATACGTACGATTCAAATAGAAGACAATAACCTAAGAGCTCAATAAGTATTTCTTATATTTTTTTTTTTAGAAAAGTTGCTGATGAAACATTGTTCGAAAGTTGATCAATTTCACCGCATTATACGTAAAGGACCGTTGAAAAATGGCTGTCCTATGTTGTGGCATAGTCAGGAGATTAATGTTGCGCGTATTCAAATTGTGAATTAAATTCCTACGAACAAGCTTTTGCGTAAGATAAACCGGAACAGAAGTTTTTAATATTTTTCGACAAATGTAACAAAGTTGTATTTGAAAAGATCAGAAATTTTCAACCAATTCATTGAAGATATTGAGTGAGAAACATGATCGTACCTTCTTAAATTGTTTATGTAACGACTACATGAGTTTTGAATGTTTTGCAGTCTATATTTTGTGATTTCATCCAGACAGGGATAATAAACAATGTTGCAGTAAACGATTTTACTGAGTATGAGTGACTCGCATAACATTTTCTTAATTTTTCTATTTAAAACAGTTTTACTTGCATATATAAGCCTGAGTCTAAAATAACTAGACTTACACACATAGCCAACATGCTCCTGAAATCTGAAATCTTCATCCAAGTACAAACCTAAATTTTTTGCAGAATGGGAAAATAGGATACTATTATTTAGTGATAAACATAACTTTGATTTGAGGAAAGTACGTTTTTTCTTGGAGCAAAAAAGTAGGTATAGCTGTCGATTTCGATGCGTTTAGACGTAAATTATGTTTTGCAGCATATGTGCATAAGTATTGCAGATCTTGATTGATAAGGTTGTTAGCTAAATGGTAGTTGTACGGACAGAAATTATGAAAAACCTGCATATCATCAGCATATGATTGACTAGAACAATGTTCAAGGGTGTTAGAAATGTCAAAGGTGTATATAAGGAATAAAAGTGGACCTAATATGGATCACTGAGGCACGACGAAACAAATCGGCCTTTTGTCTGAAAGTTTATTTTGTATGACGACATATTGATGTCGTTCATTTCAATAGCAATCTATCCATTCCAGAACCAAGTCGTCACACCCAATGTATTTACATTTAGAAACTAACAGCTTATGATTCAGGGTGTCAAAAGCATTGCTGAAATCCAATAAGACTAATGCAGTTGTTTCTTGCCTATCCGCCGCTGTTAGTACATCGTGCCAAAGCAGTAGTGGTACTGTGACCCTTTCTAAAGCCCGATTGATTTAATGGCAAAATGCTGCGTTCGAGTAAATACTGCATATAAACTATTTTTTCTAGAATTTTTGATAGAGCTGACAGCAAGCTAATAGGTCGGAGATCACCTGGAACCTGGGGATTGGGAATCTTTGGAAGAGGTTGCACTAATGCTTCCTTCCAAGCACTTTTAAAAACACCGCGCTCTAAACAACAATTTATTAAGTGCAAAATGTATATTCCTACAGCAAGTAGACACAATTTAATCATCTCAATAGTAATGCCATCAATACCACTAGAATTGGACTTGATACTGCGAATAGCATCCAATACTGTAGATATATCGACAATACGGAACTGAAAATGAACATCTTTGTTTAATTTGTTATGGCTATAAAATTCGATAGTTTCCGAGCAATCATCGTCACTTTTCTGGAATATACTGGTAAAATAGTTATTTATTTCCTATTTGCCTAATGTGCCAATTTTCATTAATTGTATCAATGTCTTCTAGTTTTTTCATAGAGTTGAAATTGCACTAACGACTTCGTCAGTTTTTTTATTAGAAAGTCCATGCAGATATTTCCAGGCGGAGCTATTTTTTGGGATCTTCAATATTTTCATAATCTACTACATAATCTACATATTATGCCTTCAAAAGAACATAATCTACATATTATGCCTTCAAAAGAAATCAAGATGCGTAACATAAGTTGCTTGTAACAGACAGAAAATCTAGTGAAACTCAATTTGAGCCGAATTTCGTAAAATACCTTCCTAAGACTGTAGCTTCATATTTCAGAAAGTAATTTAGCATTAGAGGATTCTTTAGATTTCAAGGATATCCTCAGCTGCTAAAGAAAAGATGAACGCAAAGAGGCTTTGACATTAAGTAGATATTCTTGCATTTCGCAAGGCCACTCATATAAGTACTGTGTCAGCTGATTAACGAGTAGAAACACTTTCGTTTTTTTTTTCTCACATTGCAGATACCGCCACACATTTCCGTCGTCATGAGAAGAATCTGACTAACGTTAGACGAATTTTTATATGCGAATTTTCTAATGCAACTGGCTCTTTGAAATGCGCTTTTTGAAAACGGTATCATGATAGGGGTTTTCCCAGTCTGAGTTATGTTGACCAACATCCACGTGTTACGTCCAGCGCAACCCCCAGTTTCCTGATTATGCATACAAGATGTCCCAATATTCCGTGCACATAGAAGTAGCACGTATCTTGCTTTGTTTGTCCATTAGAGGACATTTAAGCCTTTTTTTTAAAACACAATTGAAGACACAAGTGGATAAAGGTGTCATGTAACAAAAATCATTGTATGGAGAAAATTGACTTTATACATTAGTTTGTTATTATCCTGTTTTTGCAACAAAGTAATCACATTATGAAAGAATCACTAAGGTTAGTTTAATGCCAAAAAGCAATTTTCCATATTCACGAGAAAACAAGCAACAACAGCAACTTAACCAAAAATAATCTCATTACTTTAAAATTTATGGAGAACAAATTAACTACCAATAAACTCAAACATTATTAATTTAAGCTTTATGAAGCTTGTTATCCTGGACGTTTCCATTCCACACCGCATAGGTTTGTTTATCTTGTACAATATCTGAACGACAACTTCGAACAAAAGAGCAATAGGTGACAGGGATCTGGTACTTGTAATTTCTTGTAGAATGAACACCGAGCTCTTTTTCGATTTTTAACTTTTTTGCTGCTGTTGTTTCTGAAAAAGAAAGTCCCACGTTTCAACGCACCCAATATGGATAGTAATAGGTTGGGTAGGTAATGATGTAACGTCTACTTACTTAAGAAATTGTACTAATAATAAATTTAAAAAAGGTAATAAAGGACAACAAATAGAAAAGTATATCGGCACGCGTTCGAACATTCAAATGAAAGTAAAATCACACGAACCGTGACATACCAAGACAGGTAGATCATAAAGACAACGTTTCAACGAACTGTATTATTGCCTAATAAGAAAATTAAGAGCTAACAATGCTATTAAAATATGAAGTGACAGTTGGTGCCTTTCACATTCAGTACTGTACCGATGCCGCAACCGAGATGTCAAAGATAAGCGGGTCTTTTCCTCAGATAATGTTGATAATTTATTTAACAAGACTCACGTTGCGCTTTGTTGCCGTTATATCGTCATTGTTGATCTTCAGGTTAATGAGTTGCTTTGGGATGGAGAATACTGA